TGGGATATTTCTCCTGAAAGGCAACATAGTACTGTCCATTAAAAGAGATCATTGATTCACTGTTTTCTAACTAGGGAAGAGTTATGTGTGGATAATTTTTCAAAGTTGGATGTTGGATTGGTTATTTTATAAGTTTATTTTCAAATCCCTTTAGCCTCTTTCTTAGTAGTAATTGAGCAGCTCCTGCTTTTGTTGTCTGGCGTCAGGCAGCTTTTGTGGCAGTGACCTTCAGGCTTGCTAAAGGCTGCAATTTTGCCTGGAGCGCTCCTTCCTTATGAAATTACACAACACTCAAACCTTGGAAGCAGCCCCACATCCACTAATTCTTTTCTTTGACGGACTCTTGGCAATGTATTTTCCTTTTCAGCAAAAGTGTAGCTTTATACAAGACTTGTTTGTTACTGAAATAAATTTGGCCATTTGCCCTTTATACCTAGAATCAAATGGTATTATGGCAGACCCATTCCTAGATAAGTATAGAATCTCAGCTGGAGAGTTTCTACCAAAGGTTTTATTGTTTCTGGTCAAGGTCAACAGTTACTAACAATAGCAGCTGATACTTTATTATTTATTTTTTAGTTGTAGTTGAACATAATAACTTTATTTTACTTATTTTTACGTGGTGCTGATGATTGCATGTGCTCTACCCTTGAGCCACAACCCCAGCACGAAGCTGGTACTTTTTAATGGGATTGGTGCCTTGTGATAGTACTATGCTGTTCAGCATGTTGACAACCCTCACAATCCCCTTAGAAGCAGAAGGTATCTGAATTTTTCTGAGAAGAAACTGAAGCCCATTACCTCAGCCCTTTGACCATTATATAGCTAATAAGTAGCCAAACTTATTTGAACCCACATTTTTTTTCTTTTTTAAGAATTTTTTTTAGGGCTGGGGATGTGGCTCAAGCAGTAGCGCGCACGCCTGGCATGCGTGTGGCCCGGGTTCAATCCTCAGCACCACATACAAAGATGTTGTGTCCGCCAATAACTAAAAAAAATAAATATTAAAAAATTCTCTCTCTTGGGCTGGGGATGTGGCTCAGTGGTAGCGCGCTCGCCTGGCATGCATGGCCCGGGTTTGATCCTCAGCACCACATACAAAGATGTTGTGTCCGCCGAGAACTGAAAAATAAATATTAAAAAACTCTCTCTAAAAAAAAAAAATTCTCTCTCTCACTCTCTTTAAAAAAGAATTTTTTTTAGTTGTCAGTGGACCTTTATTTTATTTATTTATACAAGGTATCGAACCCAGTGCTCTCACATGCTAGGCAAGCGCTCTACCATTGAGCTACAGCCCTAGCCCCTGAATCCACATTCTTAATTATTATGCTGTACCCTATTTTTACTATGTTGGAGAAGGAAAAATTATTGAACACTGTGTTTCAAGAGAACATAAAATCACAGCCTGAATCATAGAATTGTAGGATGAAATTATGGAACCCAGAGAACTAATACAACCTATTTTAAAGGAGCAATGATGTCTGCCAGTTCTGAGAAATAGTAAGATAACAGCTTGAGCAGAGGGGAATAGATACTGATAAGTGACCGGAATGAAAGGTTATTAGGAATTATCTAAGCCACTTCCTTTTTAAGAGGTAGATAAAATATAACCTGCCTGTTCAAAGAATTATCTAAGCTTCTCTTGCTGTCCTTAGGAAACTGTGGAAACAGATGTGTACCCTTTTTATTTCAGATTGCATTATCCACAGTAAGTAGATTTCCATTGACTACTTGAGATTTCCTAGATGGTAATTTTTCACCCTGCAAGGAACCAATAACCTTCAGGGGAATTATTTGAAAAGATGTAGCACAGAAAGCACTGAATTTCAATCAATCATGTGTTTAATGAGTTCCTTCCTAGCAAGGCAATATTTCTGGAATAGTGGGGAGTAAAAATAAGTTGATGGGTGGTCTCTGCCCTCCTGTAGTTTATAATCTACTTGAGCAAACCAGCCAGGCATACAATTAAATTGTTCAAAGGGAAAATCCCAATGAATTGTGTAGTCAGGGAACATGTCTATTGCCAGGTGGGAAAGTGATTGAAGGTGGCAGAAGGCATCTGGAAGGAAAGACTCAAGTAGAACGTGGGAGACTGGGAGACCTCACTGGGAGACAAATGACTCATTAGCAGACCTAAAGGTGGTGATGAAAGAGAATGTTGAAAAGCTCATTTGGATTCTAATGAAGGCCCTATGTAAATACAATTTGATAGTTTGGGATTTTTTTTTTTTTTTTTTGTACAAAGGATTAAGCCTAGGGTGCTTAACCACTTAGCCACATCCCCAGCCCCTTTTATTTTGAGACAGGATCTCACTAAGTTGCTTAGGGCCTCACTAGATAGATTGGGAATTTTTTTATGGATAGATTTTTAAATAACTTTTTAAAGGAAACACTCAAGTAATCCAAACACCAAACTCCTTTACCTTCTGTGCTCTCAGGGTTAAATATTTTATTATATAACTTATTATCTTATGTAAGTGCCCTTACTATTAATTAGATAGGAGGCTTCCTCCAACTCTATTGACAAAAAGTCCATGATACTCTTGGGAAGAATTTCCAGCACTTCCCTTTTGCTAATAAAGGTGTCCTTAACTGTCCAACCCCTGGGTGATGACATATGCAAAAGTGTTAAAAATAGTGTTCATACTCTAAGGAATCAGCTGCCAAATGCTCTCTAATAAGCAGAAAATCACAACTCAGGCCTCTGGGGCTCACGCCTCAGCTGGAGCAAAGCCATAAATGTCTGTGACTGCAGGTGCACTTGGGCACATTGGAACCTGCTAGTAGTTGGCTGCCTTCACTTGCAGTTGATTTAGGAGAGGACTGGAGGGTTGAGCTTTGGCTGACATTTGCTGCTTAGAAAATCTTGCTCCACTAATCACAATGAAAATTCTACAATAATGATTTTTTTGGTAAGATAACATCTCATTTTGAATTCTTTCATTTGAGTTCTAGATGCTTCCCAGCCTTTATTTTTATTGTTTTAACTTCTGGTACAGGAGGCTCTTTGGAAGTTTCTGTCTGTATATGAATGTGCTTTTAAAGAGTGGTACATGGCTATGGTTTAAGAGCCTCAGTATGTACTTCCTGAGCAAGCAAGTAAACAGTCCCCTTTGCAGGAATTGGTGCACACTCCATCTGCTTGCCCCTGTCCCTGTCCAAATAAAAGCATGGGGATTTTGCTGTTACTGGTAAAGAAAGGAAAGTTAGAGGTCATATTGACCTCATGATTTGCTGAGAGCTTGCCTCCTCAACAGTGTAATTTCTGAACCTCTGATTTTTGAGGTCTGATTTCTATAGTGAACAAAGCACTGGAACAAGGAGACTGGGAGAGTTAAGTTTGTCTGCTTCCTCAATGTGGACTTCAGGCCAGAATCTTTAACTCTCTGGTCCTCAGTTTCCTCAGCTCCTCTATCTCATGGAGCTGAAATGCGAGTAGATTACATACATCACTCATATTTTCAGACAGAAGTCTAGCAGGTTCTGCCATGTGTACAGTGGTGGCTTATGGCCTTTGGTCATGGGATTTCTCTGTGAATTGATTAAAAGTCACAGGTTCCAAAACATATCTTAGAGACCAATTTTGCATGCATTTTTTTGAGATGCTTATCTACATGTGCCCCAGCAAAGGTGATGATGGCCCTTAGGCTAAGAAAGTCATATCTATAGTCCATTTCAAACTCTTCAATATTTGATTACATGAAGCTTCTCATACTCGTCCCATCACTTCCACTTAACACTATACTTTATTCACACTAGAATTCTGACATCTTCCTAAGTAACCATCTGCAATGGTTAATTTTGTGTGTTAACTTGACTGAGCTAAGAGATGCTTAGATAACTAGTAAACTGTTATTTGGGTGTGTCTGTGAGGGTATTTCTAAATGAGGTTAACATTTGAATTGTAGACCAAATAAAGAAGATTGTCTTCACCAACTTGGGCAAGGAATCAGTGGAGGGCTGAAATAGAACCAAAAGGCAGAGAAGGGCCAATTCACTCTGCATGAGCTGGGACATCCCGCATATACTCAGACCTGGGTGCTCCTCGTTCTCAGTCCTTGGGACTGGGACCAGAACTTACATCATAGACACCACCTTCCCCACCCACTTTTCAAGCCTTTGGTTTTAGACTTACATCATTGTCTTTGGTTCGTAGGCCTTTGGGTTTGGATTTGAAGTACACCAACCAATTTTCTTGAGGTTCAAACTTGCAGATGCCAGATTGTGAGATCTGTGAGAAGGATTGTGGCCAATCCTTCATGATAACTCCATATATCTGTATATCCCATTGGTCTGTTCCTCTGGAAACCCTAAACCATTTTGCAAGTATCTTCGAGGCCTGCCTATTGTGGCTGCAGGGCTTATGGACACATGACCCCATGTCTTTATTTACATGTTACAAAGCAGGGTGAGAAAGTTTTGCATTCACACCTTCAAACCCTTGGAGCTTGAACTATTTCCTCCATTGTTACCTCTGTAAAGTTGACTCCAGGCCCATCCAAATGTTCTGGGTAAGTTTTCTACAGTCTCTTAACCACATAGTATCACACCTAGTTGGTTGGTTCTGTTTTTCTGTCCCAGAAGACCACAAGCCCTCAGCTGTGGTACATTTTATTTAGTTTATCTCCCAGGCCTCAAAAGGAGCGCCTGGGAGATAAACCGGCTGAGCGCTCAGTACATATGGATTGAACCAGTCAATGCAAGAATAAACGTACCACCCAAGTCCTGCAAGCTTTCAGTGTGCTCCGTGCTGATTTTGCTTTTCGTGTCCAAAGAGCCCTTTTGGTAAAGGTCAGGAGTTTGGGGGTATGTGGGGAACAAACGGAGGGAGAAGGTGAGAACACCATCGCGCTGGGGATGTGAACGCGAGAGAGACCGGACAACTTCTTTACCTCCCGGAAGCTGCAGCACCGGCCTCTCCGCGTCCCTCCGGAAGGTGGGCGTGGCCCTCATGAATAGTGAATCGCCGCGGGGGAGGGGCTGGGCCCGCCCCCTCGGGCGGGAAGGGGGAAGCGCGGAGGCTGCCTGACTAGAATGAGGGTAGCTCCGGCAACTGAGGCGGCGGGAGCGGGGCCGGCCATGGCGGTGTGGACACGGGCCACTAAAGCGGGGCTGGTGGAGCTGCTCCTGAGAGAGCGCTGGGTCCGAGTGGTGGCCGAGCTTAGCGGGGAGTGTCTGAGCTTGACGGGCGACGCCGCGGCGGCCGAGTCGGAGCCCACTCTGGGGCCGGCGGCGGCCGCCTTCAACGGCCTCCCGAACGGCGGCGGCGCCGGCGACTCGCTACCTGGGAGCCCGAGCCGCGGCCTGGGGCCCCCGAGCCCCGGGCTGGGGCCCCCGAGCCCGCCTGCGCCGCCTCGGGGCCCCACGGGAGAGGCGGGCGCGTCGCCGCCAGTGCGCCGGGTGCGGGTGGTGAAGCAAGAGGCGGGCGGCCTGGGCATCAGCATCAAGGGCGGCCGCGAGAACCGGATGCCGATTCTCATCTCCAAGATCTTCCCGGGACTGGCGGCCGACCAGAGCCGGGCCCTGCAGCTGGGCGACGCCATCCTGTCGGTGAATGGCACGGACCTGCGCCAGGCCACCCACGACCAGGCCGTGCAGGCGCTGAAGCGCGCGGGCAAGGAGGTGCTGCTCGAGGGTGAGCGGGGCCGGGTGAGCGGGGCCGGGCGGGCGGGCGGGCGGCGGCGACGGCCTGGGCTCACCCGCGCGCACCTTATTTCTGCTACCCTTTGAGGGGCGAACCGGTTCCCTCCGCCCCTCACTGCAAACCCCGCCTTTCTGGGTCTCTGAGTATGGAAAAACTGATGCTCCTTGCAGGAAAAGTTGGGCAGCCCTAGCCTAAGTGTGGCTTGCTGCCCCCGAGGAACTCTACTGAGATTTAGCAAAGAGCAGCAGCTTGTGAAGCTCCCCCCTCTGTACGATAAGCTGACACTAAGAACTAGGAGGAGGCCGATCGGCTCCAGTTCTGTAGTTCTCCTTTTGCTTGCTAAGAAATGCCGGGTTGGCTCTTTTCTTCACTCCATTGTGGCTTCTCAGGCGGGCGGGTCTATTAAAAAGAAAGAAAGAAAGCGAGCCATCCACTCCGATGCCACCGGTATGCTTGGGTAAACCATCAAAGTGCTGGTTAATTTATGGGAATTTAACCCATCATTGGCTCTCAACAATAACTAAAGGAGATCATAGCACTTCATTGAAGCCAGAGAGCTGAAACAGCAAGTTTGTGTGGTTAATGAGCCTTGTTTAACAGTGGAGGCTCACGTGTTTGAAAGTTTACTGCCAACTAGAGTTTTGCCCCTTTTGCAAGAGACTGGTGCCAGCTTCCTACCGCTGACAGTCATGCTGCTTCAAGACTAGGAGACGTTTCATAAGAAACTTGAAATGGTACATCACAAGAAATGTTTGGATAGCCAAGATTATTCTTTACCTTAAAAGTATGTATATGATCTGTGTTCTGGATATTTTATTATGAATTTGTGGGATGAAGCAAAAATAAATCCCATCACCTGGGGCTGGGGATGTGGCTCTGGTACAGTCCTTGCCTAGCATGTTTGAGGCCCCTCAAAAAATAAAATTAAAAAATTAACTCTCCTCTCCTCACGGACTCATGCCTGTCATTGGTAATAGAGTAATGAAAATGAAGAGTATGGAAAAAACTGATGATTCAAATATTTCACTGGTGATTCAAATATTCCAGAAGCATTTATTGTTGGCTTTGTAAAAGATAATATAAAAGAAGATGCTGTTCCTACTTGGTCTCTAGTTGGGGAAATGATAGAAAAAGTGCAAAATAAGTTAGAGGGAGGACTTTGATTTTTGTAGTGCAAAGTATGTATAAGTGCCAAGGGAATGCAAAGTTAGGAATTAAGTTGATGGAGATGGGCTTACCCAGTGTGGACTTTTTCAAAGAGCTGAATCTTGAGCCAGTTCTCCAAGGAAGTGATGGTTAAAATGGGCAGAGATGAGTCAAGAGAAATTCCTGGCAGGGGAGGGAACTGCTGGGGGACAGGGTTGGGGAGGGAGCAGTCTTCTATAAACTGAGAAGCCAAAAGTCTAACTTGACAAAATATCCCCCCCCTCTTTTAATATAAATCTGCTTGTAAATAATTGGAAAATGTTAATTTGCAAAGAAATTATTTAATGTGCTGCAATTGTGAAATTTCAGTGTCCCAGCTTTACTATATCCTAGTCTACTTATATGTGGAGCTAGACATTGCTCAGAAAGTAGTGTTAATAAAAGGAGTAAAATAACAGATCGTGACTTAATTACAGATTGTGTAAAAAAAATTTCTACTCTAAAACATGTATCCTGAAATTGGTTTAGCTAAACACTTGTTATGAATTCTTCAAGCCAGAATACGAAATTTCATACAACTCATATAGTATTAAATGGATAGACAGTTCAACCCTTCACATCCCATGTAAAAACAAACAAAACCTGGTTTTTGTTTAGATATAATTTGAACCTGGTATTCATACCAGTGAAATTAAAACTACGTAATAAATGCTTACTAGTATTCATTAGTCTAAAATAGGCCACATGTGCTTTTAGAAAGGTTTACACATGACAGCATAATAGCATATTTATTGAATGCCTTTTTACCTACACATAGGTTCTATTTTCCTATTTTGTATAAGTCAAGCAGTTCATGTTCTTATAGGTGTGTTAAGTCAGTATGGTGGATTTATGATGTTGCATTTTTTAAGTGTAGGATTATAAAAATAAAATTGCTCTCACAAAATCACAGAAAACAGTAATTTAATGACCCAAACTTTCAATGTTGAAAGATGTTGTTCTATTCAGGTAGACTACTTTTACAGTATAGAGTTTGGTGATGTACCTTGTAGTTCCAGCTATTCACAAGCCTAAGAGAGGCCAGTCTGGCAAACATAGTGAGATCCTGTTGCAAAAAAAAAAAAAAAAAAATTAAGTGTATTCTTAGCCCTTGAAATTTTCACACTATATTGTCCTTTCATTCAATATTTGAAAACTTGAAAAAGTTGCCTTAATATAGTACAGTAGCACAGTGATGCTGTTTTTGTGGTGTGGGCAGGGAATTTCAAGCACATTCTTTCCACCCCCAAGTGAAGGAAAGCTAGTTTCTGGTTGCCTGAGGTTACTGAACCTAGCTAAAGGATTCTTTTTTGTCTCAGGAATTTTTAGGGATTGTTTGTTCATTTATTCATCCATCAAACATTTATTTGACTCTTTCCACTTATTCCTCCAAGGGGAAAGGATTAATAGTGATTTTGTTTTCTTATTTGCATCTTCTGTCCAAGGAAAGCATTCTAGCAAAGGAATGGTACAGTCAATTAGAGACAACATACTTGTCCACACATAAAGATTGATTAAAGGTAGAATACATTTTTGGTATTTCAAAAAGTTTATAATAAACTTTAAAAAAAAATACCATAATTTAATTAATTCATTTTTTTATATGGTGCTGAGGATTGAACTTAGTGCCTCACACATGCCAGGCAAGTGCTCTACCACTGAGCCACATCCTCAGCCCTATAATAAACTTTATTATTAGTTTACTGTGAGCCAGAAACACTTGAGGACACTCAATTCCTGCCCTCAGTAAGTTAGGAGTTCAGAGAGAGGTGTAAAAGTTTGGGTAAACAGTATGACTGTGGCAGTGTAAGAGAATGCAGAGTGATGAAGGATGAAAACAGAACTCTTTTTTTTTTTTTTTTTTTTGTACCAGGGATTGAACCCAGAGGTGCTTAACCACTGAACCACATTCCCAGCCCTTTGTAAAATTTTATTTAGAGACAAGGTCTTGCTGAGGTGCTTAGGGCCTTGCTAAATTGCTGAGACTGGCTTTGAACTTGAAATCCTTCTGCCTCAGCTTCCCAAGATGCTGGGATTACAGGTATGCCCTAGCACACCTGGAAAATCTGAACTTTTTTTTTTTTTTTAATAAAACAATTGCTCTTTATTTTTTATTTTTAGTTGTAGATGGACACATATCTTTGTTTTATTTATATTTTTGTTGGGGGGGGGCAATTATTGATGGGTTACAGAGAAATTCATAGACCTTTATTCATGAAGGAGAAGAGCTACATGAATCCAAGAAGGAAATTTCTAGCCTGAGTTTCTCCTCCTTGTCAATATTTGCATTTTAGGCCAGACTATTCTCTTATAGTGGCTTGTCCTTTGCAAATAGGATATTTAGCAGCAAATCAACTTTAATTATGAGCCAGAGCACTTCAACATACTTGATTCCTACCCTCAATAAGCTTTGAGTTGACAGAAGTAGAGCAAAGGGCTAAAGTACTGTTAAAGTTAGTAGTCTGGAGAGAGCCCAGCATAAAAAAGAGAGAAGTCTACATGGGTCCCTAAGGGGAATCAGAGATTGAGAATGCCCAGGAAAAGGTTGATGGAGAAGATGATGCTTAAATTGAGCCTTCCCTAAGAAGAGAGAGCTGTCTGTCACCAGTAAGACACTGAAGTACCAGATATTAAGAAGTTTTTCTGGTCGGGCACAGTGACACATGCCTGCAATTCCAGTGACTGAGGAGGCTGAGGCAGGAAGAGCACAGTTTGAGGTCAGCTTCAGCAACTTAGCAAGACCCTGTCTCAAAAAATAAAAAGCTCAGTGGTAAAGCACCCCTGGGTTCAATTCTCAGTACCAAAAAATTAAATAAACAAACAAAAAGAAGTTATGCTGCCAGTAGCCCACTAAGAGTATGGTATAAGCAAGGACTTGTGGTCAGACTTGGGTTTGTTTCTGGTTAGTGGTTTGTAATTCCTAGTCAAATTACTTCATCTTGTTACACCTTTGTTTCCTCATCTGTAAAACCAGGGTGGTAATAATACCTTCCTCTAAGAGTTGTTATTCATTTGACAATTTATGTGTTCAGCGCTTTTATTAGGCCCTGGAAATACAGCATGAACAATAATAGCAAAATGACTGAAGAAGGCAGGACTTGGTCATGAAGGTATGCTGTGAATTAACAAATACACTGTAAACCAGGAGAGCAAGTTGTTAAAACCCAAGACTTCATTTTACCAGGAAAAAAAAAATGTATATGTTAAGAATTGTTTCAGATGAATGAGTTAAGAATGAGTTTGAGTGTCTTGGATGTGACAACGTTTTCTAATTTTATGTTCCTGTTTTTCTTCTCTCTCTTGGATAGGGTAATGTTTTGTCCTTAAATTTTCGTTTAGTTTCCTTTTTATCTGATTTTTCCTCTTCCTTTACACTTAGTACTCAAAACCATAAGACTTGCTATTAAGTGTGTACTTGTAGTTGTAGCTAGTGACTATTAGCATTGATATAAAGGTATGCAGATTAGATAGCCTTTGTATTAATATTGCAGATTCTAGGCTCAATGGGGGTAACTCTATTCACCTGTCAGGTACTATATATTGAATTTGCTGATTCCTTTACACTAGATTAAGGTTTATCCAGAAAGCTTCTAGAATTTATTTATAATAAAGCCTTTTTTTGTGTCCCTGACTTATAACAAATGCCACTGACTTTTTTTTTAATATTTATTTTTTAGTTGTAAGTGGACACAATATCTTTATTTCATTTTTATGTGGTGCTGAGGATCGAACCCAGTGCCTCAGGTGTGCTAGGTGAGCGTTCTACCACTGAGCCCCAGCCCCAGCCCTGCCACTGACATTTTTAG